CAACCACACCATGTGGAGCTGATAGCTCAGGACAGGATGACTTCGAGCAGTTGTCCATGAAAGGGCAACATCCTGCGAGGCAAGCAGAATCTCTCACTAGTTTGATCAGTGCAGGCAGCGAGAAGACAGAGCCATCAGACCTCCCCTCGATGTGCCGCCACCTCTTCCTGTCCACACTGCCAAGAACGTTTCGTGCGCGGATTGGCCTGACAAGTCATCTGCGTACCCACCAACTTCGACCCCAGGATGACTAGATGGTCCTCGTCGAATCGACGGACAAACAACAATATATTTTTTTATAGAAGTAGTTTAAATAACCTGTGAAGAGGGCTGGTGAAAGGATTTCAGAGACTGAGGATGACCAATCATGAACGTAAGTATTACCCTAGACATATAAGGCCTTTATGTAAAAGAATTATGTGGATTAAAGTAAAGATTGGATGCGAGAAGTGGGTCATAATAAGCATGTATGCACCTGGAGAAGAGAGGAATGCAGAGGAGAGAGAGAGATTTTGGGAGATGTTAAGTGAATGTATAGGAGCCTTTGAACCAAGTGAGAGAGTAATTGTGGTAGGGGACCTGAATGCTAAAGTAGGAGAAACTTTTAGAGAGGGTGTGGTAGGTAAGTTTGGGGTGCCAGGTGTAAATGATAATGGGAGCCCTTTGATTGAACTTTGTATAGAAAGGGGTTTAGTTATAGGTAATACATATTTTAAGAAAAAGAGGATAAATAAGTATACAAGATATGATGTAGGGCAAAATGACAGTAGTTTGTTGGATTATGTATTGGTAGATAAAGACTGTTGAGTAGACTTCAGGATGTACATGTTTATAGAGGGGCCACAGATATATCAGTCACTTTCTAGTTGTAGCTACACTGAGAGTAAAAGGTAGATGGGATACAAGGAGAATAGAAGCATCAGGGAAGAGAGAGGTGAAGGTTTATAAACTAAAAGAGGAGGCAGTTAGGGTAAGATATAAACAGCTATTGGAGGATAGATGGCTAATGAGAGCATAGGCAATGGGGTCGAAAAGGTATGGGGTAGGTTTAAAAATGTAGTGTTAGAGTGTTCAGCAGAAGTTTGTGGTTACAGGAAAGTGGGGTGCAGGAGGGAAAGAGGAGCGATTGGTGGAATGATGATGTAAAGAGAGTAGAAAGGGAGAAAAAGTTAGCATATGATAAGTTTTTACAAAGTAGAAGTGATGCAAGGAGGGAAGAGTATATGGAGAAAAAAGAGAGAGGTTAAGAGAGTGGTGAAGCAATGTAAAAATGAGAGCAAATGAGAGAGTGGGTGAGATGTTATCAACAAATTTTGTTGAAAATAAGAAAAAGTTTTGGAGCGAGATTAACAAGTTAAGAAAGCCTAGAGAACAAATGGATTTGTCAGTTAAAAATAGGAGAGGAGAGTATTAAAATGGAGAGTTAGAGGTATTGGGAAGATGGAGGGAATATTTTGAGGAATTGTTAAATGTTGATGAAGATAGGGAAGCTGTGATTTTGTGTATAGGGCAAGGAGAGAATAACATCTTGTAGGAGTGAGGAAGAGCCAGTTGTGAGTGTGGGGGAAGTTCGTGAGGCAGTAGGTAAAATGAAAGGGGGTAGGCAGCCGGGATTGATGGGATAAAGATAGAAATGTTTAAAAGCAGGTGGGGATATATATTTTGGAGTGGTTGGTGCAATTATTTAATAAATGTATGGAAGAGGGTAAGGTACCTAGGGATTGGCAGAGAGCATGCATAGTTCCTTTGTATAAGGCAAAGGGGATAAAAGAGAGTGCAAAAATTATAGGGGTATAAGTCTGTTGAGTATACCTGGTAAAGTGTATGGTAGAGTTATAATTGAAAGAATTAAGAGTAAGACGGAGAATAGGATAGCAGATGAACAAGGAGGCTTTAGGAAAGGTAGGGGGTGTGTGGACCAGGTGTTTACAGTGAAACATATAAGTGAACAGTATTTAGATAAGGCTAAAGAGGTCTTTGTGGTATTTATGGATTTGGAAAAGGCGTATGACAGGGTGGATAGGGGGGCAATGTGGCAGATGTTGCAAGTGTATGGTGTAGGAGGTAGGTTACTGAAAGCAGTGAAGAGTTTTTACGAGGATAGTGAGGCTCAAGTTAGAGTATGTAGGAAAGAGGGAAATTTTTTCCCAGTAAAAGTAGGCCTTAGACAAGGATGTGTGATGTCACCGTGGTTGTTTAATATATTTATAGATGGGGTTGTAAGAGAAGTAAATGCGAGGGTCTTGGCAAGATGCGTGGAGTTAAAAGATAAAGAATCACACACAAAGTGGGAGTTATCACAGCTGCTCTTTGCTGATGACACTGTGCTCTTGGGAGATTCTGAAGAGAAGTTGCAGAGATTGGTGGATGAATTTGGTAGGGTGTGCAAAAGAAGAAAATTAAAGGTGAATACAGGAAAGAGTAAGGTTATGAGGATAACAAAAAGATTAGGTGATGAAAGATTGGATATCAGATTGGAGGAGAGAGTATGGAGGAGGTGAACGTATTCAGATATTTGGGAGTGGACGTGTCAGCGGATGGGTCTATGAAAGATGAGGTGAATCATAGAATTGATGAGGGAAAAAAGAGTGAGTGGTGCACTTAGGAGTCTGTGGAGACAAAGAACTTTGTCCTTGGAGGCAAAGAGGGGAATGTATGAGAGTATAGTTTTACCAACGCTCTTATATGGGTGTGAAGCATGGGTGATGAATGTTGCAGCGAGGAGAAGGCTGGAGGCAGTGGAGATGTCATGTCTGAGGGCAATGTGTGGTGTGAATATAATGCAGAGAATTCGTAGTTTGGAAGTTAGGAGGAGGTGCGGGATTACCAAAACTGTTGTCCAGAGGGCTGAGGAAGGGTTGTTGAGGTGGTTCGGACATGTAGAGAGAATGGAGCGAAACAGAATGACTTCAAGAGTGTATCAGTCTGTAGTGGAAGGAAGGCAGGGTAGGGGTCGGCCTAGGAAAGGTTGGAGGGAGGGGGTAAAGGAGGTTTCGTGTGTGCGAGGGGCTTGGACTTCCAGCAGGCATGCGTGAGCGTGTTTGATAGGAGTGAATGGAGACAAATGGTTTTTAATACTTGACGTGCTGTTGGAGTGTGAGCAAAGTAACATTTATGAAGGGGTTCAAGGAAACCGGCAGGCCAGACTTGAGTCCTGGAGATGGGAAGTACAGTGCCTGCACTCTGAAGGAGGGGTGTTAATGTTGCAGTTTAAAAACTGTAGTGTAAAGCACCCTTCTGGCAAGACAGTGATGGAGTGAATGATGGTGAAAGTTTTTCTTTTTCAGGCCACCCTGTCTTGGTGGGAATCGGCCAGTGTGATAATAAAATAAAATAAAATAAATGTAAAAGCTACCCCACACTAGAACATGTAGTGAGAACCTTACTATCAAAGTAATAGGGACAACAACATAATGCTAACACACACACACACACACACACACACGGTTGCTGAAAGTTCAAGCCCTTCGCCAACAAAACCTCCTTTACCCCTTCTCTCCACCTTTTCACGGATGACCCCTACCCCGCCTCCTCCTCCCTACAGATTTATATGCTCTCCAAGTCATTCTACTTTGTTCCATTCTTTCTAAATGACGAAACCACCTCAACAATCCCTCTTCAGCCCCTTGACTAATACTTTTAGTAACTCCACATCTCCTAATTTCCACACTCCGAATTCTGTGCATAATATTTACACCACACATTGCCCTTAGACTGGACATCTCCACTGCCTCCAGCTGCCTCCTTGCTGCAGCATTTACAACCCAAGCTTCACACCCATATAAGAGTGTTGGTACCACTATACTTTTGTACATTCCCTTCTTTGCCTCCATGGATAATGTTTTTTTGTCTCCACAGATACCTCAACACACCATTCGCCTTTTTTCCTTCATCAATTCTATGGTTAACGTCATCTTTCATAAACCCATCTGCTGACAAATCAACTCCCAAATATGTGAAAATATTTACTTTTTTCATACTCCCTCTCTACAATGTGATATCCAATTTTTCTTCATCTAAATCATTTGATACCCTCATCACCTTACTCTTATCTATGTTCACTTTCAACTTTCTACCTTTACACCATAAAATGTCATGTTTTCCACTGCCCACTGGAAAACCCTGCTTATATCTTTTTTGCAATTTTTTAGTGTCTTCTACCAAGGCAACTTTCATGTATATTTTAGTCACCTGTAAATGATGATACAAAACTGTGATGGGTGTTTTTGTGTGTTTGCTATGAGAATGAGAAACAGCAGAAGCACCAAGATCATACCTTGGGAGTACTGAGTGTTCTACCTTACTAATGGTGGGTTTTGCTCTGTTTATTGCTACTCTGTGTTCTTTCTTTCAGAAAGTTAAAAATGCATTATGCATATGGCCCTTGTTTTGTGTCCAATGACCCCATGATCACATTTGTCAAATGCCTTTGAAAAATCTGTGTGTATCACATCTGCATGATGGTTTTCTTCCAACACCTCTGCAATTTTGTCTTGGTGGTTAAGCAGTTGTGACAAGCATGACCTCCTAGTCACATCAGAATTTTCTGATGACCTTTGGGTGTCACTTACACTATCATCCTCTACAACACTCACACTCCTTTTCTGTTTAAGTTACTACTTTGGATTCATTCCTAGGCTGCAGCAGTTTGATTTTGGTCTTCATGCCATTTTTTTTTTTTCTCAGATTAGACTGTCCTGCTGAGAATGACATTTTTACTTCATTGGGTATCTCTTGCTAAGATGGTGACCCAGAGAAGGAAACACATTTATCATTCTTTATTTTCTGCAGCAACATTCACTTTCAGAACAACAGATACAATACATAACCATTGATCCTAAGACACTAAAACAAGTGGATAGAGACAGTTGTGGTTCACAGTTGTAAAACACTCAAAACATGTTGCAATATAAAACAGATCTTCATAAACATAAATAATACAAACCAATATTAACAACTACTTGTTCTTAACCATAATATGGTATTTTAAATGGACTCACCTGCTGCTCTAATTCGTGGCATCGTTGTATTGTCTCATCTCTGGTTAGTGTGGCTGTTTCTAGCTGCTCAAGGATAGTCTTGATGTGTGGGTGGAAGGAGGCGGGTCCCAGGTCTGCTCTGATCTCACCTTCTCCCACCAGTATCCCAGGAGAACTTTCTCGCAGCATTAGTTCTTGGATGGCCTCCATTATGACTTTCTGTACCCTCTCCTCCATGTTCATGATGGCTTCAATATATTCTGAAGAGCAAAGGAAAATAATAATTACAGCAAATCCATGCTTAACGTCGTCGACAGGTTCTTGGAAACTGCGAATTAAAGTGAAATGACGTATAATGAAACCAATTTTACCATAGGCTAATTGATATAAACATCAGGGGTGCACCATGCATCTTTAGCACACATTGCAACAGGGTTATATTGAGGAATAAATGTTTACAAAGCTAAAATTCTAAGGTGCTCCTACCACCATGCAGTTCAAAAACAAACGAACAACAAATATGGTGGGTTCGTTGAGAACTTTCATGCCACATCGTTGGAAGTCATGCATTTGTATGATTATCACATTTATATGATTATTTTACTATAATTTGTATTCATTCATTTTCCAACCCACTTATTCCAGTTCAGAGTTGCGGGTAGCCGGAGCTTATCCCAACAGTTCAGGGCGCAAGGAAGGAACCAACCCTGGACAGGACGCCATTCCATCACAGGGTGTATTCACACCCACCCACACTCACTCCTACTGATACAATTTAGACATGCCAATTAACCTAATGTGGACATCTTTGAGCTGTAGGATGACACCAGAGTACCCAGAGAAAACCCACACAGACATGGGGAAGGGAAAACAAGCAAACTCCACACAGACAGTGGCCATGGCCAGGAATCGATTTTTTTCTCATCAACCACATAACAAAACAATGAACAAAACAGCGTTAAGCAAGGACTTACTATACTGTTATTCTACACTGGTATGTGCTTTACATAAGTTATCTAATGATTCATACAATATCACATTTTACTAGACTAACTCTCACACAGCATATGTTGCAAAGAAAAAAGGTTCAATGTAATGATATGTAATACAGTTGTTTATTACATTAATAATGACAATGATAAATACAAAATAACCAGTAAAGTAGCTCTTATACAGTACAAGCTATTGAAAGGACAATACAGCCTCTCCTCACTTAGCGACATACTTGTTTACTGATGACTCAGACTTATGATGAGCTCTCGGACCAGTGTGCATACGAAAATAATGTATATTAGAGCTGATTTCCTCTACTCTATTTATTACAATATACAGTACACTACTGTAAAAAGATTTAAAAATATACCAATATACCAGAAATGTTATAAATATTGAAAAGGTAACACTAAAACAATATCAAAGATGGTTGACACAAACCCACTACCATTATAGTATGCTCCTCACTTAGCGACAAATTCATTTACCAACGAGGTCTTAGGAACAGAACTCTGTCAATAAGTGAGGAGAGGCTGTAATATAGAACTATATGAAGGGTTATTACAATGATCTACTACATCGAGAACAATAATACAGCACTACATGCAGTTATTACAATGACCTACCACACAAGGACAATAACATAGCACTATATGCAGACTTATTACAATGACCTACTACAGGATACTTTATTTTTTTTATTTATTTATTAATCTGAACATGATACAGTGAAGTACAAAGGAATACAGTTATTACAGTGCAACATGCCAAAGCCCCTTGTATGCAGAGCATTATGGGCAGGCTTAAAATTAACTTAAGATTAACTAAGCAATGATATATTCTGTGGTACAAACATTATTGTAAACAGATAACAGTTTAGCACAAATGAGTATTACAAAGACAGGTCATATGGTCATTTACTGTGTTGCTGTGCATTCAGTAGAATGGAGTATTCTGTTGGGTAATGTAATTAAAAAATAAATGAGAAACATTTATGAGATACAATTATTCAGTATTTATTTACTTGTGGGTGAGTAGGTGATTTTTGAGAAGAGACTTGAATTTATAAACAGACAGTGTTTCTTTTATATTCACAGGTAATGAATTCCAGATTTTAGGGCCTATTATGTGCAATGAGTTTTTGCTTAGCATGAGATGGACACGAGGAACATCAAAGAGTGATCTGTGCCTTGAGTTATGGTCATGTGTTCTGTTGAGGTTGGTAAGGAGACGTTTGAGGGGAGGGTTTATATCAGAGTTAAGTGTTCTATGAATGTAGTAGGTGCAGTAATAAGTATGGATGTTTTGTATCGTGAGTAGGTTTAGAGTTTTGAATATTGTGGAGTGTGCTGCCTGTAGTGGGAATTTATCATCATTCTGACTGCAGCCTTTTGTTGGGTAATTAATGGTCTGAGATAGTTTATTGTTGTTGAGCCCCATGCACAAATTCCATAGGTGAGATAGGGGTAAATAAGTGAGTGATATAGGGCCAGGAGGGCTGACTGTGGAACATAGTACCTTATCTTCGATAGCATGCCTACGGTCTTGGAATTTTTGGGGGAAATTTGTTGTATATGTGTTTGAAATTTGAGTATTATCAAGGTGGATTCCTAAAAATTTTCCCAATGTGAATTTTGTGATAGGTGATCCGTTTATCATTATGTTAAGAGTGATGTCTGTAGCTCTGTTACCAAACTGTATGAAGTAGGTTTTGTCAATGTTTAGAGTAAGTTTGTTAGTACTCATCCAGGTAGATATTTTCTGTAATTTGGTATTTACAGTATTGGTTAGCATGACTGGGCTCGGGTGAGAGAAGATGTATGTAGTGTCATCTGCAAATAGTGGGGGTTTGAGTAGTTACGATGCATTTGGCAGGTCATTTATGTATATGAGAAAGAGAAGAGGGCCTAGGACACTTCCCTGTGGGACACCAACTGTAATTGGCTGTGCGGAAGAGTTTGACCTGTTTGTGTACACATACTGGCTTCTGTTGCTGAGGTAAGACTTTAGGTAGTTGAAGTAGTGCCCTCTTATACCATAGTGCGACAATTTTATATGGAGCAAGTTATGGTCAACTGTATCAAAAGCTTTACGTAAGTCAATGAAGATAGCCAGTGGGACTTCTTTTTTTTCTATTGCAGTGTATATGTGTTCTAGCATATGTATAATAGCATCATTAGTATTTTTATTAGGCCTGAACCCAAATTGACAGGGGTTGAGTATGTTGTGGGAGATGAGGTAGGAATAGATTCGCTTATGAATTAATTTTTCGAAGATTTTAGAAAGAGGGTGTAAGTTGGATATTGGCCTATAGTTATTCAAGTCTGTTTGGTCTCCTCCTTTATGGATCAGGGTGACCCTTGCTATTTTGAGAACTGTAGGGAAGGTAGAGGATTCTATGGATTTGTTAAAGAGTGTTGCAATGATTGGTGATAGTACTTGTGACGCTTTTTTGCACATAAAGGGTGGTAAGGTGTTTAAATCTTCTGCCTTGTTTTTTAGTGTGTTGATAATAAGGGAGACTTCAGTAGGGTTAGTCGGAGCTAGGAACAGTGTGTTCGGGTAGTTGCCAGTGAGGTAGTCATTGGGTGGGGTATCTGAGCTTGGGATTTTATTGGCAAGGTTTTTTCCTATAGTGGAGAAGAAATTATTGAGTCTGTTTGCTGTTTCAGTTGGTGGGAGTTTGGGTTCATCTGGTTTTGTTAATTCAATTTCGCTATTTCGTGATATCTTTTTTTGTTCCTAGAATTTCTGATAGGGCTTTCCAGGTCTTTTTTATATCGTAAGTTGGATAATCTGTTCTCATAACACAGTTTTTTAGCCCTTCTTATCAGGCTGGTTAGGAGTGATGAGTAACGTTTTGTTTGGTCTCTGGTTATGTGACCCATTCTGTACTGTTTTTCGTATAGGTGTTTTGTATTTATGGATTTGAGGATGCTGGGTGTTAGCCAGGGACTGTTCAGTCTCTTAACAATATAGCACTACATGCAGGCTTATTACAATGCCCTACTATAGGAGGACATTAATATAGCACTGTATGCAGAGTTATTACAATGATCTATTAACTCGTAAATGGTCCAAACGTATATACACATACGTTCACTACCGTACTGCCCCAACTTTTTTGAGAAAAAAAAAAAAACATTGTTGTTTTTTAATAGGAAAAAAGAGCATATGGTACCCAGGCATCCCCAATTATTTTAATATGGTGCACAGTGAGTGCTCACACCCATTCAATCATGTCTAAGTGACTCAGGCTTATTGTGGCAATGTTAAATGTATGACACATAAAACGTGTATAAACATTTGGGGCACTAGCGGTAAAAACGTATACAGTGGACCCCTGGTTTTTTATATTAATCCATTCCTGAGAGCTCATCGTATACCAAAATTATTGAAAAGCGAATCAATTTTCCCCATAATAAATAATGGAAATCAAATTAATCCGTGCAAGACACCCAAAAGTATGAAAAAAACAAAATTTACCACATGAAATATTAAGTTTAATGCACACAAACTGAAGAAGACATGCACAGTTTGTAGTACTCTACTAACAATAGAATACATGACACTTACCTTTAATGAAGATCTGGTGATGATTGATGGGATGGGAGGAGGGAAGTGTTGAACTTATTGTTTAGAAGGGGAATTCCCTTCCATTAGGACTTGAGGTAGCAAGTCCTTTTCCGGGGTTACTTCCCTTCTTCTTTTAATGCCACTCGGACCAGCTTGAGAATCACTGGACTTCTGTTGCACAACATATCTGTCCATAGAGGCCTGTACCTCTCGTTCTTTTATGACATTCCTAAAGTGTTTCACAACATCGTCATTGTACAGGTTGCCAACACGGCTTGCAATAGCTGTGTTAGGGTGATTTTCATCAAAAAATATTTGCACTTTAAGCCACTTTGCACACATTTCCTTAACCCTTAAACGGTCCAAACGAGATTGACGTTCAAATTCGTAGTGCTACAAAAGTAGATCTACTTTTTTTTACATATTTTCAAATATAACAAAAAAAAATGTAGATAAAAGATTTTTACATGTTTTCAAATGTAAAACAAAAAAGAAGATCCACATTTTTTTACATACTTTCGGATGTTGAAAAAACGTATATATACGTTTGGACCATTTAAGGGTTAATCTTAGAAGTAGGCAACTTCTTCAATTTCTCTATCCTCTCCTCCAAAGCAGTTTCCTCAGGTCTGCCCTCTTGCTGTTGAAGATGATCTAGCAGCTCATCAGTGGTTAGTTCTTCACTGTCCTCCTCCACCAGCTCTTCCACATCCTCCCCACTAACCTCCAACCCCAAGGACTCCCCCAATGCCACAAGGGATTCCTCAACTGGCATAGGATTCCCAGGGTTAGTCTCAAACCCTTCAAAATCCCTTTTGTCTACACATTCTGGCCACAGTTTTTTCCAAGCAGAGTTCAAGGTCCTCTTAGTCACTCCCTTCCAAGCCTTACCTATAAGGCTTACACAATTGAGGATATTAAAGTGATCCTTCCAAAACTCTTTTAGAGTCAGTTGAGTTTCTGTGGTCACTTCAAAGCACTTTTGAAACATAGCTTTTGTGTACAGTTTCTTAAAGTTGGAAATGACCTGCTGGTCCATGGGCTGCAGGAGAGGAGTGGTATTAGGAGGCAAAAACTTGACCTTAATGAAGCTCATGTCCCCAGAAAGTCGCTCTGCCAAGTCTGAAGGATGACCAGGAGCATTGTCTAATACCAGGTGGCACTTAAGGTCCAATTTATTTTGCAGGAGGTAATTTTTCAGTGGAGGCAAATGCATGGTGTAACCAGTCATTGAAAATGTCCCTAGTGACCCATGCCTTACTGTTTTGCCCTCCAAAGCACACACAAATTAGCCTTGAGGACATTGTTTTTCCTGAACACTCTGGGAGTTTCAGAGTGATACACCAATAAAGGCTTCACTTTGCAATCACCACCAGCATTAGCACACATCAACAGAGTAAGCCTGTCTTTCATATTATTATTATAATAAAAAAGAAGCGCTAAGCCACAAGGGCTATACAGCACTGCAGGGTAGGGAAGGAAGCGAGGGTATTGGGCGGCAGAAGGGGGGAGGGATGATCAGTAGGTTACAGAAAACAGCGGGGCAGGGGATAGTGCGGGGGTAGAGGGTAGCAAGAGATTGAGGTAGAAAGGGCTGAAAGTATCATCAGATTTTGTGAAGTAAGTCAGTTGTTGTCAAAAAGTCAATGAGAGTGTCCGGATGAAAGGTGGGTCCATCAGCGAGAAGGGAAGGTAAAGAGAGAACAGCGGAGCGAAGACGACGTCGGAGGTAAATTCTGCGTGCTCATTGATAAAGTGGGCAGTCTAACATAATGTGGCTGACCGTTAATGGAACCTGACAATTCTCATAGAGAGGAGCAGGGCACCTCTCCATGAGATATCCATGAGTAAGACGAGTATGGCCAATGCGAAGACGGGAGAGAGTAGTCTCCCAACCTCGACACTAGTGACAAGAAGACGTCCAGTAACCTATACTCGGTTTAATAGATTGAAGTTTGTTACCGAGCAGAGTAGACCAACGTTGTTGCCAACGGGTGTGAAGGCGGGTAGCAATTGCAGCAAAATAGTCCGTAAATGGAACACCTCTATATGAAACTGGTAGGTCATGTACTGCTGACCGTGCAGCAGTGTCTGCCTGTTCATTGCCCTGTACGTCAACATGACCAGAGACCCAACAAAAAACAATATCTTTATGTTTGGTAGAGATGCAGCGTAGCCAAAGTTGGATACGGAGGACTAAGGGGTGAGGTGTATCAAACTTCTGTATAGCTTGTAAAGCATGAAGGGAGTGAGACAACCACAAATGATGACACAGGCATAGATGCAATATGGATAAGTGCTGCAAGAATGGCATACGATTCAGCAGTAAAAATACTAGCCGAAGACAGTAAATGCCCTCGTACGATGCTGTCCGGAAACACTGCTGTGAATCCTACGCCGTCACAAGACTTAGAGCCATCTGTGTACACTGCAATGGCATGAGAATGAGAGTGGAAGTGGTCAAGAAAAAGAGAGCGGGAAGCTACCGTAGACAGTTGGGCTTTCGCGCAAGGGAGTGAGAAAGAACAGACTCAAACAGCTGGAGCTTCCCAGGGGGGTAGGGAAAAGTGAGATGATATATGAACATAGAAAGGTGGTAATTGAAGAGAAGACAAGAGCGAATGTAGGCGAAGAGAAGGGACGGAGCAAACAGGGGCGGCGAACAAATAATGTCTACTAATATCAGTGACCATTCTATAAATGGAAGGATTGCGGAGATCATGAGAGCGTACATAGTAGCGAAGGCAATGGGCATCATGGCGATCGGATAAGGATGCAACGTTCGCTTCTGCATAGAGGCTCTCGACAGAGGAAGAGCGAAAAGCACCAAGGCATAAACGTAATCCTTGGTGATGAATGGGGTTAAGGCTAGAGAGAGTAGCAGGAGAGGCTGCTGAATAGATCTGGTCACCATAATCAAGTTTCGATAAAATGAGGGTGGAATATAGGCGAAGGAGAGTTCGACGATCAGTTCCCCATGAAAGATGAGCAAGGGTTTTAAGAAGGTTCAGCCGGCTGTGACAAGTTGCCTTCAGAGAGGTAATGTGAGGTTTCCAGGATAACCTACGGTCAAAGAGTAGGCCTAGAAACCTGACTATCACATTTAGGGATACGGGAGCCATAGAGGTACAAATGTTGATCAGAGATGACAGAGCGCCTAGTGAAAGTAATTTGGCGAGTTTTGGTACTGGAAAATTTAAACCCATGTGTGGTGGCTCAACTGGAAACACGGTCGACAGCATGCTGGAGAGAAACTGCAATGAGGTGACAGTCAGCGCCTGCACAGGCAATAGCGAAGTCATCAACATAGAGTGATGACCAAATATTGGATGGAAGACTAGAGGCCAAATCATTTATAGCAAGGAGAAAAAGTGTTGTGCTCAGAACACATCCCTTGGGGACACCTTCATCTTGGATAAAGTCCGGGGAGAGCACATTATTAACCCGAACACAGAAATGTCTCTCAGTTAAAAAGTTCTTAAAGAAGGATGGTAGATTGCCTCGGAGGCCTAAGGAGTGGGCTTGGGCCAAAATATTATACCTCCAAGTTGTGTCATATGCCTTCTCAAGGTCAAAAAATATAGCAATAACTGAGTGGTTATTCGCAAAGGCATTACGAACATACGTATCCAAGCGTAGTAAGGGGTCTATGGTAGAATGGCCCTTACGAAAGACATATTGACGAGTGGAGAGACTGTTGTGTGTCTGTAAATACCACACTAAACGTCTATTTACCAGGCGTTCCATCACTTTGCAAACTGCACTGGTAAGAGCAATGGGATGATAGTGGGAGGTTTCATGTCCTGTAGTGCCCGGTTTGCGGAAAGGGAGAACAATGGCAGATTTCCACAGCTGTGGAAGAACTCCTTGTGACCAAATAAGATTGAAAAGGCGTAATAGGACTGCAAGGGCTGACTGATGTAAATGTTGTAGCATACGAATATGAATGTCGTCGGGTCCAGCTGACGATGATCGGCAAGCCGAGTGTGTTGCCTCCAGTTCCTGAAGTGTAAAAGGCACATTATACTGTTCTTCTCTGAGAGAAGAAAAGTCCAAGGGTGCTAACTCTCTGGGAGACTTTGAGGAAAGAAACGAGGGGCATAGATGGAGCCCCTGAGAAATACAGATCAGATGATTGCCAATTTCATTGGCAACATCCAGTGGGTTTGCTATATCAACACCAGCAACCCGCAGAACGGGAGCCGGGTCAGGAGAATATTTACCACTCAGTTTTCGTACTTTTTTCCAGACTTCACTCATAGAGGAAGCAGAGGTGATGGTGGAGACAATCTCGCCAGCAAGTGCATTTAGCATCACAGATGACACAGCGAGCGATCGCACGCTTCTGCTTAAAATCAAGTAGTCTCTCCGTGGTTCTATTGTACCGGTACCTGCCCCACGCAGCGCGTTTCAAACGTACTGCACGAGCACAAGCAGGAGACCACCAAGGCATGCATTTCTGAGAATGCCTGCCCGAAGTTTGGGGTATAGAATGAGAAGCTGCAGTTAAAACGGAGGACGAGAAGAGGTGTAAAAGCTCATCAATGGAGGACAAAGAAGGAACCTCACTCAAAACAGTTAGTCGTGAATAAAGGTTCAAATTTGCCTGATCAAATTGCCAGCGTGGGTCACTCTGTCTGACTTTTTTGGGTTATCCTAGGTTCCCTACACATATGCTGCTATGTATGATAATTCAATGTAACTGTATTTGTGTATACCTGAATAAACTAACTTACTTACTTAAGAGGTGGTGAATGTGAAGGGGAAGTAAGAATGATTGGGAAATGATCGCTGTCATGTAAATCCGGGAGAACAGACCAGGCGAAGTCTAATGCGGCGGAGGAAGAGCAGACTGAAAGATCGATGGAAGAGAGAGTATGAGTACGGGGATCAAAATGGGTGCGAGTACCTGTATTTAGAACATGGAGGGGGCGGGTAGCAAGAAAAGCCTCTAACTGAATGCCACAGGAATCACAGTGAGACCCCACCAGAGGAAATGATGGGCATTAAAATCGCCAAGTAACAGAAGTGGTGGTGGTAATGATGAAACAAGAAAGGCAATATCTGGGATAGATAATGCCCGAGAAGGAGAGAGATACAAAGAACAGAGTGTATACCACCTATGCAAGTGGATACGGGCTGCTGTGTAATGCAGCATAGTATGAACAAATAGCTGATGGTACGGAATATCAGTGAGCAGAAGAAGGGCACTTTCATTAAAGGTCCCATCAGGAAAAGGATCTGAAGAATACAATAAATTATAGCCTGAGATGGGATAGATAACAGCAGAGTGTAATTTTGGTTCCTGTAAGCAAACACCAACAGGGGAAAACTGGGAGAGCAACATCTGAAGCTCACCCCGATTACCCGAGGCCACGTATATTCCACTGTAAATAGGCCATGATTGGCAATGATAAAGATACCTGAAATCTGCAGGTAAGGGTACCTACGGACTAGAGGGGTTAGAAAAGTCTACATGCGGTGGGAAAGGAAAATGTTCAAGCAGCGAAGAAACGGTGCGCTGTGAAGAAAGGAGTTGCGCAGATGGAGATGAGGAAAGAGAAGGAACAGAGGGTGGATCAGTGTCCATTGATGGTTTGGTCTCTAATATATTCAGAGATTGCTTCAAGTGTTTCGGAGTTCAGAGACGTTGTATGAGAGACAATTTTGGAGATGGAAGGAGGAGGAGTTTGAGTAAAGATCGGAACTGTAATGGACTGTACCAAGGTAGGGGGGGGGCGAAAGGGTGGAGGGAATTGGAGAAGTGTGGGAGGGGACAGAAGAGGCAGAAACCTGGGAGGTGGCAGAAGAGGAAGAAACGTGGGAGGTGGCAGAAGAGGAAGAAACCTGGGAGGTGGCAGAAGAGGAAGAAACCTGGGAGGTGGCAGAAGAGGAAGAAACTTGGGAGGGGACAGGGAAGGAAGGCACAGTACGGGGAGGAGGATGAACCTCCACACTTGTAACAGAGCCAGTGAAAGGGGAAGACCCAGGTACAGAGACTGGGAAGGTAAAATGTGGAGGTGGATGAAGGGAAGGAGGGGTTAAAGAAGATTTTTTGGACCTCTGAGAAGTAGAGGAACGATTGGGAGGAGGTGTCGTATGAGGTCTTGTCGATACCGGGGTTTGTGAGAGAGAACACGAAGAAGTGAGGACGGACTGAGGTGTTGAAGTAGGGACGTCTGAGCCCAAGACGGCAAAAGAATTAGATACAGGAGTGACTATGGGACTGGCAACCGCAGAGGAGGCTGCAGAAGATGGGACCCCAGAAGTGGGGGGACGTTTTGAAACATGAGAATAAGAAACATGGGGTAGTTTCCCTTGAATGCGGAGATGAGAAACTGCCATGGCATAAGGGAGACCTTCTGCCTCTTTGAGGCAACGAATTTCCCGCTCATTTAAGTAGACCTGGCAACGGCGAGAGTACGAAGGGTGAGCCTCATGACAATTAAGGCAAGAGGGAGTTCGACTGCAAGACCTATTAGAATGGTCATCAGCACTACAGACTGGGCATTCAGCTATAGATCTGCAATATTTTGCTGGGTGGCCAAATCGCCAGCAATTCCTACACTCTTGCGGTGTAGGGATCACCTTCCGAACTTGTAACCGATATCCTTCTACATAAACAGAGGATGGGAGCTCACGGCTGTCAAAAGTTAAACAAGCCACATTGCAAGGGTATCGTCTTCGCCCGCGGGCAGGAAGAACGCAAGTGTCTACCGTGAGAATTGGGAGATCTTGGAGTTCCAGCTGTTCGAGAATGTCATTGCCACATGTCTGGAAATTCTGTTGGACTATGGTATGGGGCAGAATAACAGTACTACTACAAGAATTGAGGGAATGATGTTTTTCGACAGTGATAGGAATAGTATCAATATGTGAAAGAAGAGAAAGATCATGAGCTTGGGTAGAATTCTGCGTGTACCACTCTTAAGAGCATGAAAGAAAATATCTCTACCAACGTGGCGTAGAAGCGCTTCGCCAATACTACTATGGTCGGAAAGATAGGCAGTAGAAGAAGTGGTCCGAAACCGAGTGTGGAGAGGGAGTGCGTGACGTGTCGGTCTTTTCCGAGTAGAATGGGAAGGTAACGAAGTAACATCATCAGGAGATTGTCGTTGGCGTTTAGAAGTGGGACCAGAGTCGGTCCGATGTGGGACGAGCTGGCGATTCAAAAATTGCCACACCGTAGAGGGAGAGGTCGGAAGCATAGTCAAAGGAGAGCGTAGGTCAGACAAATCAAAGGAGTCAGTCGAAATCCCGGCACCTGGAGCGGGTGACAAAACAGCACCAACAAGAGGTACAGGGGTCTTAGGAATGTCCAAAGAGTGGTCAAAAGACGAGGCGAGGTCAAAACAGGGTGCGGTAACAATAAGGGGCCCGGGGGTAACGGGGTCATGGATTTGGGACTCCATGGTTAGGTTACTTCTTTCTTTTTGTTTTTAAGAAAAAAAAAAAAAAAAGAAAATCAAAATAAAAAAAAAGAATAAAAAAAGGGGGGACCGGGGAGGGATAGTTCCTAGGAGGAATGAAAGGGCCAGAAATCTCCCTCCGCGTCCAAGAGGACCTCAGCACCGCAAGTAGTGCAGATGCAGCATGGAACCCATGCCATACCCTACCCTTCATGCCAGTAAACCAGCAATCCGGGATAGCAACCTCTCATCTGCCGAGCTACCTCGGTGGACAAGAGAGGGCGGCCGGATATCCGCCACAAAGCATACCTCCTTTGGCCACCACCCCCAGAATCCGAAAGGTGGCTTCCAGAGATACACCCGTCGCCCGAAAGAAGCCCAAAGTCACCCTCCGGGATACCGGAGAGGGATCGGGACATCCCCAGGTGATCCAGATCCCACGGCAAACTACGCCACCGCCAAGGACCTCAACGGAATGGGATGGACCCCGGTACCCTTCCCCCTACCTATGAACTAGTGTGCCTGTGGGAAAAATCCCAAAGGCCAAAAAGAGGAAGGGCAAAAGGGAGGGGTGGGGAGGAGGAGGAGGAGGAAAGGAAAAAGGGGAGGATGGGATAGGGAAAGGGGAATTGGGGGGGGTAATTAGGTTCGGTCTGAGGAAGGAGACCGACAGGTCTAATTCCTCAGAACAAGAGCCTCTTCACCACGCCAAGGAGCCCCCCCTTGAAGAGGCTGTCTTTCATAGGCTTATGTCCTGGGAGTGCATTTTCCTCCTGAGTAATGTAGGTCCTGCTTGGCAATTTCTTCCAAAACAGGCCTGTTTTGTCGCAATTAAACACTTGTTCAGGTTTCAAGTCTTCACTGTCTATGTAATCTTTGAATTCCTTCACATATTTTTCAGCTGCTTTTTGGTCCGAACTGGCAGCCTCACCATGCCTAATCACACTATGTATGCAACTACGATTCTTAAATCTTTCAAACCAACCTTTGCTGGCCTTAAATTTACTCACATCACCACTAGTTGCAGGCATTTTTTCAATTAAATCCTCATGCAACTGATAAGCCTTTTCACAAATGATCGCTTGAGAGATGCTATCTCCTGCTACCTGTTTTTCATTTATCCACACCATTAACAGTCTCTCAACATCATCTAACACTTGCGAACGCTGTTTCGAAATCACAGTTGCACCTTTTGCAACAACAGCTTCCTTGATTGCCATTTTCCTGGTCACTATAGCAGCGATGGTTGATTGGGGTTTCGTATACAACCTGGCCAGCTCCGACACACGCACTCCACTTTCGTACTTTGCAATTATCTCTTTCTTCACTTCAATAGTCATTAGCACCCTTTTTCTTGAAGGGTTTGCACTAGAAACTTTCTTGGGGCCCATGGTGACTTATTTTGCAGAAACAAGCACCAAAAACACTGTGATAATATGGAATGTACCGAATGTATCCTGAGATGCGAGCACACTGGCTGGCTTGTAAACACTGGCACACACGGGGCAGTTCAGGCCACACATGGACACGTCTCGGACGAATCGCGTGTGGCGGGTTTTTTAAAGAGAATCGAGGCAAAATTTTTGCGTTAAAATGTATCGAATACCGGATTTATTGGATACCGATGCCATCGAATACCGGGGGCCCACTGCATATACGTTTGGATCGCTTACGGGTTACACAACTACGTGAAATAGTTTACAATGTAGCCCACAAACATAATTTCAAACAAGTAATTCTGTCTGGGAAGAAAAAACTGACATATAATGGTGGTATCTGTGATAATTCAACAGAGTACAGAGAATAAGTAGTGTACTACCTTAGCAATAATTCACTCTGTATTTTAACCTAAATATAGTACAAACTTAGAGGTTAGCTGTTCCATCATGCACTGCATGGAGCAGTGTTTTTATATACGTACTACACAACCACAGCACAAACCCATTCTCTCACGACTAAGATGTGTGTGTCCACCTATCCTCAACTGACAGAGTTTAGTCTCAATGTAATGATTCTTGTTGAAGGAGGAGGGCCAAACATCCACATCCTGCTGAACCTTGTATAACTTGCTTCTTATCTATAAGGCCCATGGATCTGCTACTTCCCAAGAGCATACAGTATCTATGTATATGGACCATGAAGTCACTGTTATACAGTAAGCTTGTTATACCAGCCTTTGCCTCTGCCCATTCATATCCTGAGACACCAACATAGCCCATGCACTAACAGAACTGCAATCCCACATCCTTGTGCCACAAGTGGAGATGGGCTAAACACTCCTGGATTGTTTAGGCCACATGGTTGAAAGAAACATATTGGGCCAGGGTAATCTGAGTAGACAGTGAACAGAGATCCAATTAATTCAGCTATAAGAACAAGAGCTAAAAGGAGTGTACGGTTAAGCAATGAACACAGAGGACTCGGTCATTAACTGTGCACAATGAGTTCTCACTGGCGATCACTGCAAAGTCAACACTACCCTTGCTCTTTGATCCATCAATGAAAACCTCCAGGGCTTGACACTTAAGGGTCCCCATCCACATCCTACAAAGATGAACCACTGGCAATCCAAGAGAGCAGCATACATCCAAACAACACAGGAACCCCTCACACTGAGGAAAAAGGTTCCCCCTTTCCTCTTTCTTTCCCCCCCTGAAGACCCAGCATAAGTTGGGTTGCCAAATGTACAGTGAACCCAAAACAAGTATCACAGACCTAGTTCCTCTCAGAACAGAGAACCAGGGAATGATCAACTGACTCAACATAGAAAAATAAAAAAAAATAATAATAAAAGACAGAACAGCCCATGACTTACAAAGCATCTTCAAAAAAGATTGATGTAATTGGTAATTACATATATTTTATATTTTATCTAATATTATATTGCTAATTTTATTTTCTTAAACAGCTTAAGCAAAAATGTCATGCTTTATAGCACTATTTGTCTCATGTATTTAGTTAAATTTTTTAGGTATTATGTACCACTTTCTGTGCTGGCAGATCTGAGTTATGACTGGTGCCCACACTGTTCAACTGCTTGTTCACTTTGCCTTCCAGGATGCGAGACAAGACCTGACCTTGCACCTGCAGCAGCTCCATCATTCTCTTTCCCTGGCTGGTCATCACTGAGGCAACAAGTCTCCTCTCCACTTTATGCATATCACATCTGTATAATGATTTTCTTCCAATGTGTTTGCAATTCTGTCATAGTGGTTTAGCAGTTGTGACAAGCACAACCTAGTCACGTCACAGTTGTGACAAGCACAACCTAGTCACGTCACAGTTGTGACAAGCACAACCTAGTCACATCACAGTTGTGACAAGCACAACCTAGTCACATCACAGTTGTACAAGCACAACCTAGTCACATCACAGTTGTGACAAGCACAACCTAGTCACATCACAGTTGTGACAAGCACAACCTAGTCACATCACAGTTGTGACAAGCACAACCTAGTCACATCACAGTTGTGACAAGCACAACCTAGTCACATCACAGTTGTGACAAGCACAACCTAGTCACGTCACAGTTGTGACAAGCACAACCTAGTCAGTCACAGTTGTGACAAGCACAACCTAGTCACGTCACAGTTGTGACAAGCACAACCTAGTCACGTCACAGTTGTGACAAGCACAACCTAGTCACATCACAGTTGTGACAAGCACAACCTAGTCACGTCACAGTTGTGACAAGCACAACCTAGTCACATCACAGTTTGTGACAAGCACAACCTAGTCACGTCACAGTTGTGACAAGCACAACCTAGTCACATCACAGTTGTGACAAGCACAACCTAGTCACGTCACAGTTGTGACAAGCACAACCTAGTCACGTCACAGTTGTGACAAGCACAACCTAGTCACGTCACAGTTGTGACAAGCACAACCTAGTCACGTCACAGTTGTGACAAGCACAACCTAGTCACGTCACAGTTGTGACAAGCACAACCTAGTCACATCACAGTTGTGACAAGCACAACCTAGTCAACGTCACAGTTGTGACAAGCACAACCTAGTCACGTCACAGTTGTGACAAGCACAACCTAGTCACGTCACAGTTGTGACAAGCACAACCTAGTCACATCACAGTTGTGACAAGCACAACCTAGTCACGTCACAGTTGTGACAAGCACATACCTAGTCACGTCACAGTTGTGACAAGCACAACCTAGTCACGTCACAGTTGTTGACAAGCACAACCTAGTCACGTCACAGTTGTGACAAGCACAACCTAGTCACATCACAGTTGTGACAAGCACAACCTAGTCACGTCACAGTTGTGACAAGCACAACCTAGTCACGTCACAGTTGTGAAAAGCACAACCTAGTCACGTCACAGTTGTGACAAGCACAACCTAGTCACATCACATTTGTGACAAGCACAACCTAGTCACGTCACATTTGTGCCCAAGCACAACCTACCCACATCACAGTTTTGACAAGACAACCAACCACTACAGTTGTGACAAGCACAACCTAGTCACATCACAGTTGTGACAACACAACCTTTTCCATCACATTTGGGTGAAAAGGGCAAAAACCTACACTCACAGTTGTGACAAGCAAAAACCTAAGCCCACACACAGTTTGACAAGCACAACCTAGTCACGCCCCACATTTGTAAACAAGCAAACCTATTTCACGTCACATTTTGTGACAAGCACAAACCTAGTCACCCACAGTTGTGACAACACAACCAGTCACGTCACAGTTTGTGAAAAGGGCCAACCTAGTCACATCACATTTTTGACAAGCACAACCAAAGCCCACTTTACAGTTGTGACAACACAACCTAGTCACATCACATTTTGGGAAAAGCACAACCTGGTCACTCACATTTGTAAACAAGAAACAACCTAGCACATCACAGTTGTGCAAGCAAAACCCCTACCCACATCACATTTTGTGACAACACAACCTAGTCCTCAAAAGTTTTTGACAACCCCAACCTAGTCACTCACATTTTTGGGGACAAGCACAACCAAAGCCCCACGTCATTTTTTTGTGAAAAAGCACAACCCTAGCCACTTCCACAGTTGTGAAAAAGCCCCAACCCTTAGTTCACTCACAGTTGGACAAAGCAAATATTAAAGGGAAAAATTAAAAGGGGTGAAAAAAACCTATAAAGTCAATTTTGTGACAAGCCCCAACCTAGTCACCCCACATTTTTGGTGAAAAACTTTGGGGGGAAACTTATACTATCACCCTGCTACAACACTTTAATCTTCTGGGGTTCCCCCTTTTGGATTTATTCCGGGGACTGTACCCGTTTGATTTTGGTTTTTATGGGTTTTTTTTTCCCCGGGTCAACTTCCGAAAAAAAATGACTATTTAAGAAGAATGTCAGCAATGAAACCCTTTACAAATACCCTATGTTTTTCTCACAAATCCAGAAAAAGTTTTTTTTTTCGGGGCATTTTTCTGTCTCCTTCAACATCGGGGTTGTTACATAGCCCCCCGCTCACTATTTCCCCGTAAAACCGGGCAAAAACCACCAATTGACTCATTTTTTAACATAACGGGTTTTTTGGGTTTGCTCAATATCAGGGGTATATGGGGGGGTTTTTCAACTTCAAATTAGGTTTGGTCAGATTTTTGCGGGTTTGACGTTAAGTTCCATCAAAAACCCTTTGGGTTATTAAAGAATAAAAGGGGTACGAAAATTTTTTCTAGGGGATCGCTTTTACTGCTGGGGGGAAAAGTAAATTTTAAAAAAACAGAACCTAACATTTCATTTGTATTTTGGCTTTTTTGTCTGAACCGGTTCGGGAAGCTCTGTCATTGCAATATTTGTTACATTCCCCATCCATTTGTTGTAAATTAAAATCAAGGAAAAGAATTTTTGGGGGCCGAGTCTGAAAAAATTTCCCCAAACAGTTTTAAAAATTTTTAACAGGGGGGCCTTTAAAAACTAAAGGAAAAAATTTTTTTTCGGGGTGGAAATTTTATACAAGTAAAATTTTCTGATTTTCAATTTTTTACTGCCATTTAAACTTTAAACGCAAATGTCAGGTCAAACTCCCCCCTTCTGCCTTTTTTTTGGGACATTTAATTAAAGACGGGCATCCAGATACGTGGAACCTTGATTCCCGAGGTCCCAAGGTACAAGTTTTTTGAGATACGAGCCTTTCCCTGGGTTGTTTTTTTTGCTCTGATTACGAGCCAACTCCCCCTGTTTCCCCCATCAACGCAAAACCGGGGACCTTCGTTTTGTTATCTTTTGTTTAATGTTTTAAAATCCCAGGGAAAAAATAAACCTTTTTTTCTTCTCGGGCCTTTGCCTTTTCCCCTTTACTTTCTTGGGAAACCCTTTTCTTAAAAAAACAAAATTTGGGCCCCAAAAGACTGAAAAAAATTTAAAAAAACATGAGAGAACTGCTCCCACAGCGAGGTAAACGGGTGCAGATTTTGTGGCGTTCTTTATTATTATAATAATAATATTACTTATTTTTAAAATTACTATTATTATTATTTTTAAATTTTAAAGAACAGAGAACAGCCCAATTCCCTAAAACAAGAGCCCCTTTCAAAAACATCAAGTTTCCCTTTTGATCCCTGCTTACGGGCTCTTTGAAACATTGTCCCTTTTTATAATCGTGTGTCTTACATGCTGGAAAATATGGGGACTGAAAACCTTGTCTGTAGCACTCACTGGCTCATCTTTATCTTCACAGGTCACCCCTTTGGGTTCCAAACTCATCTTCCCATTTTTCTACCATGTTGGGGTTTATTTTATCCCTTTAACCCGGTCTAAACCCTGTTCAACTCATTTTATCTTCACAGTGCCCACCATGTTGGTTCATTTTTTCTTCACAGTGTCTACCATGTTGGGTCAACTCTCTTTCACAGTGTCCCCACCATGTTGGCTCATTTAAACTTCACAGTGGGCTACCATGTTGGTTCATCTCGTCTTTTACGGGGTCTACCAAGTTGGGTCATCTTGTCTCATAGTGGGCTACCTTTTTGGGTCATCTTTTCTTCCCTAGTGTCTACCATTGGTTCTTTTTTTCTTTACAGTGTCAAACCCTGTTTGGTTTTATTTTATCTTCACAGTGTCTACCATGTTTTGGTTTTATTTTCGTCTTGACATGACAAACCCTCGGTTTATCTAGTCTTGACAGGTCTACCATTCTGGTCCATCTCGTCTTTACAGTGTCTACCTGGGTTTGGGTTTATCTCGTCTTCACAGTGTCTTTCCAAGGGTTTTTTCCCTCTCGTCTTTACATGTCTACTATGGGGGTTCATCTCGCCTTTACAGTGTCTACAAAGCTGGTTTTATCTCATCTTTACAGGTTTTAAACCCTGTTGGTTCATCTCGTCTTCCCCCAGTGTCTAAACCCTGTTGGCTCCCTCTCATCTTCACAGTGTCTACCATGTTTTGGGTTTAAACTCACTTCAAGTGGGCCCACCATGTTGGGTTTAAAATTTAACTTTTACAGTGTCCCACCATGTTGGTTCATTTCATCTTCAAAAATGTCTACCATGTTGGTTCATCTCTTTTTCAAAAGTGTCTACCAAATTTGGGGTTTATCTCACTTCACAGTGTTTACCCTGTTGGTTCCTCTCATCTCACAGTGTCTACCCAAAGTTGGTTCCCTCTTTCATCTTTTCCCGCATGTTGGTTCATGAAGGGTTTTTAAATTTTCTAAAAACCCTCAAATTTTCTCATTCCATGTTGTTGCCTTCCATGAGAGACACCCCAGTTCTCAGACAATTTGTTTACCGTTTAAAATCCCCCCTTGTTTACTAAGAGTTTTTTCAGTTTTTTGATTGTCAGTGTGTTTTTGTCACCATATAGACTCTCCCCCCTTTCTAACTTCCTCTTTTCTATTTAACCCCCGATTCTTGGGGGATTTCTCTGTCACATTTCACTACAAAGTTTGTTTCTTCAAAAACTGTTTCAGATGTTTTTTCAGTAAATTTTCATGCCCTGTCCCCCCCCTCCCCCGCTACATTGTTTTTTCCACTATGTAACAAGCTTCAGGGGAAACTTTTATTACTTACATGGTTATTAACTTGGTCCCCTGTTTTGCTCACAAGTTTACCCCCCCTCTTTTTTCCCTTTCTTCCCCCTTTTTTTATCTCCCCACCTTTTGTTA